CAGCAGAGATGGAAGGTGCTATTACTTTTCYAAGAGTACAACAGGCAGCCCAAGAGCACTGTCAAGATATATTTTATTATACTATACATGTCAAAATAGTGGTCACCTGGACTTGCTTGATTGAGAGCACAGAAATATATCTGAGGATGCAGTGACACGGACTGTTCAAATATGTGGGATAAACCCCATTTGAATTTGGAGAGAAACAGGTCAAAGAACTGAGCAGGCATAAATGAGGATATCCTGAGGTAACAGGAAAAGACCATAAATTTGGAACTGGAGGGATCCCAGAGCAGCAGAGTTTTATTGCAGAGGGAACTGGTTGTTTTGTTTCTGTGTGTTCACCAGGAGTCAACATGCACCTGTGCCACGTGTGCAGTGCAGACCGTCTGGGACAAGGATCCAGGAGCACGTATTGGAGCTAAGGGATTTGGCAGTGTAAATTCACTCTAAATGCATTTGTAACATGAAATACCAGTGACAGCTTATCAGGCAGAACTGAAAAATTCCTATATGGCAAAGGCATAAGAAACTTYTTTCTCATGGATGCAAGTGATTCATACATTGTAAGAAAAGGCAGTGTGCAGAGAGATGAGCAACAATGGCAACTATTTCCTGCTGGAAAAAGGTGGCCTCATATATACTCTGGGAAGTTATTCTTCTGTATTTGTTAATTAATSTTCTAGAASTGTCAARAGATTGCCATGATATCAGGCACAGRTAAGGGATAAAAARTYCTTATWAGGKRTRAAATCCCAGCTASAGCAGSAGTGAGTATAAAGTGTTTGCCTCYACAATGATTTTAARCATRTTAGTTCRTCTGAAAGATGGTTTTGAATCAGAAATATAAATAAATAGTATCATTTGCACAGGGCACTTACATGTACATTAATATTGAACTCTCTCCATCCCTACAGTTCYCAGAGGGGATGATACTGCTTGGGGGAAATTGTAGCTGCTCAGTGAATYAATGATAACTAATTTTGCTCCTGTGTTTGGCAGTTGCGATCATGAGCTTTAGTTTCACCAGGTCTATATCTGAATTGGTAAAAATACGCTCTCAATGATACAATAATGTGTCTAACTCCTACTGCACTGCAGAAGGGCTGGTTCAGGGAGGTGGACAAGCCACAACACCCAGTGATTTAGGATCAAATCAGCCCTTGAGTCAGGCAAACTGAACATTAAGCCACTGACCTGAAAAGTTCTTTCTGCCTTTCATGAACAAGCCCCGTATTCAATTTCCTGGTAAAACCAGATACAGATGACCATTTTCATGCCTTTTGTATTTGACAGCTCCTAATAACTGATAAAGAATAGGCTGCTGCTTTGCTATGGTGCCTTTTCTTAAGCTGCTTGTTGACTGTGAGCAAACTGTTCTTTCTATCCATGCAGTAATACCCCAGACATATTTCCCTGTATCCAACACGTGGGTGTTTTGCAAAGGTTAATGGAAATTAAATTAAAGCTGAATAATACTGATTATAATGCAAGAGTGTGCAAGCAAAGCTAATTAATACAACTGGCAGCATGGCTCAGTCGTGCCCTATGACACCACTCTCTTTCTTTCTCCCTCAATCTCATTTTTTTTTCTAAGCAGGTACCCACAGCAACCTAAAACTACATGTTTTGTACAGTCCTGAATGGATAGATTTACAGCAGCATCCCAYATTTTACACTCAGGAATTAAATGGTATTCAATCCTCCAGGAAAAGATGCAAAGCTATTATAGTCTCTCTTYTTCCTTCTTGCTTATGAACATCCTAGTTCTACATTAGCATTACTGTATTTCCTAGATTTTAGTGTTTGCTGAGTTTTTCTGTGCAAGGAGCTGTTGAGAATAAACTTAGATTTTATCTTGATTAAGTGACATATGCCAACAAATGTATTTTCTTGTGGATCAGTTCACTTTTTATCTTATATTGATGATCCAACTTTTCCATTAGTTTACTGATGGATAGAAGAATGGCTTTTAACACTAGATAGTATTCACAGGTGACCTGAAAAAAAACAATTTGAAAATCAGACTGRAGGATTTGAAAACCAGAAAATGATAACAGGACAGAATGAGGTATCGCATCCCTACTCCTTAGAGCAGATCTTACTTCTTGATGGTACCTTTTCCACATGTTTCACTGAGCCAATCTGGAAAGGAGGCACCTGAGAAGGCACAGTGCAATGAGGGACRCTTGGCCTGAGGACACTGAAGGTTTCATTTGGAAACACTGCAGTGTATTGTATTCTTCAAAATATTTACCTCATTGTGGGATGAAAAGTACTGTGGACACGCTGTGTACASGTTATTGTAGCTCATGTAGCACTCCTAAGCATTAATTTTGGAAATGCTACCTCAGCACATATTCCCCAGAGGCTCGAGCACAATAGAGCCCATTAAACTTCAGCTTTGGGGGCTTTGCCTGCGACAAGACCCCCCCTCAGCTGCTTCTTGCACTAACAAGGGCTCCATTTGCAAGGCACTGTCTGATCCCAGATTTTGAATCATCATGTTTGTAGGTTCCCATGGGCTGTTACATGCCTCACTGCTGGACTGTGGTTTCCTTGTGTSCCTATCCTTTTTCTTTTTGGCACATCTGAAAGCCATTCCTTTGATATTATTCTTCCCTTTCCACAGGAARCAAACCAGTTGCCGTGTCAGCATCCTGGCCAGGAATCAAAGAGAACAAGCTACTTGTCAGGCAACACCCAGGCCTCAGACAACTAGGATGGGGATGATATTTCTGGGACTAAGGAAAAATAAGTGCAAATCACTAAGTGAAAATTAAGTGCAATTTTGAAAAAATAAAAAGTGCCATCTGTAAGAGTTATGAGTTTTTTTGTATGGCAGAGGTCATATGACACTGCAGCTACTTCTCCACCCTGTGTTCTCCAGTTCAGGCAGGAATAAGAGAATTTTTTTAAACTTCRTGTTCTAGTTGTCTCGTTGCCTCATGGCATCTTACTAGAGAAAGTGTCTAGAATTCCCAGTGTCTTCCTCTTCAGCCATGACAGCAACCACAAACTCTCCAATTTATAATTACAGAGGTACAATTGTATTTTGACTTCATAATCCCTCTTTGCAGATACATCGGTTTCTTATGGGGAATATATGTATCTTACATTCTTTCATACGACCAAGGAGTCCATGAGCCACAGCCTGAGGACATCAGACACAGAAATATTCTRATTCCATGAATAGTAGAGGTGGGAACCATTCATTACACCTTTGCACTCTTTGATGTCAACTTGAAAAGCTAAACGAACCACAGTYACAGGAATGTGAAATACATGGAGTAATAAACAGACACTTAAAAATGTTTCTTTATTTTCCTTTTCAAGTTAAAGGTCAACCTTCATTAATTTGCAGCAAAAATGAGAGTACAAAAATGTTCCCRTTAGTCTAGTTTGAATTTAGATATATTATTCATTATTTGCAAATAAAACTAAGTCTGCTTTTTCAAATACCATTTCTGTGCACAAATTATATAACTCWTTCTTTTCATAAGGCATGTAAAACAGACTTCAGTTCAAACATTGAAGTATTTTACACTTGGGCATCAGAATTACAAACAGAAATTATAGTTCTCAAAAAAATGTGGGTAAACTGCAGAAGTACACACTAAAGACATTACAATGTACACATGCAGAGACATGCACAAATGAATATCTATGTATATGAAYATACCAAGAAGATCAAAAATACCTGTTTTTTGCTTTCTATGAAATCTCAGTCATTTAACTAACAAGAATGCATGTTTAACGCAGTACTCATATATTGCTTACACAATAATTATAGTCTCCTTTTTATGTCAGTACAAAATCATTTCAGTCACACAGTATAATTGTGTGTCTCCCAATCAATGTCCTACAGTAACGATGAAATGAATAAATATATTAAGGAATCATAAGGGACAAGATGAAAGAATAGCRAAAGATGAAGCTGTACTGGGTGTTTGAGAAGATTAATTTGCCTCATGATGAACTGGTAACAGTAAATCCTCTCTCTTCTTTCAACAAAATCCTCTTTCAAGTGATACTATTTCTCACATAGTGGAAGAAGATGTATCAGAGGAAAATCCTATGTACACATAGTGTTGGAATTATGAAAACATGACAGCGGTCCTTTCTGTTTAAAACCTGAACTCAGATAAATCATAAAAACTCACCATCTGTTGGCAAATCATTCCAGCAGAATGTGTGYTGTGTCAGTGCACTTGTAGAAATCTTCATGTGCAGCCAAGGGACATCCAACAAATTATGTAGCAATAACATCTTTTTGGAAAAAATTACATTTCAAAAGTCTTGGCATATAATAAGACAGAAATGCCCACAGGTCTTTMATGTGAAAGTCCATATCTTTTAACATGGTTATTTTCTTTTATGTCTTTGAGCAATTTATATCTGCAAGATGATGCTCAAAGAACAGACCCTGTAAATAAGACTCCTAAAAAGGTCACTTGGAGTGAAAATGACCAGATGATCCTTAGGACTTGCTTCTTCCACTAAAACCAGCACAGGAATCTATTTTTAGAACTKTAAATTGTCTTAAGTGGTATAGGCTAGATTCTGTCACCCTTATTATGCAGAGTGGTATGTTATTTTATAAACAAATGGGTTGTTTCTACTGATGGTTATCTTTAGTAGAAGGAAAGTAAACGTAAGTTTAACTCTATCTGTGTGCAGAGGCAAGATCCACATCTCCACAACATGCTCTTAGTTTTATTAAGGTCAAGAGAGGTTTGCACATCAAACRCTAAGAAGCCACCTAGGACATAATGTAATTTCTTTTCAGTTACTGCCTAATGAATCAGAACAGTAATGTGTTCYATGAGAGGTGTGTATAAAATTGCTTATTACTAAATATGGTTTGTACCAGAGAAGTTGTATCCAATTTTTGAGTGTTTTAAAGTTAAGTTTTGGGATATAAACAGGTTTATGGGGTCTTGGAGCAGCTCAGGAAYGTTATCACGAGCAGTCCAGGTCAGGCAGCTTTTACCCTCTGCAGCTGCCACTCTGATGGGGATGTGGTCAGCGTGAGCGAGGTCTGTGTGTACTGAGGCCATCTCCCACAGACCATCCTGTCACATCTCATGCTCTGAGCACAAGGCCCCAGAACTGCCTCCCTGGTGTCTGCTGGCATSAGCCATTGCCTATTCATGCCTATGTGCCATGCAGCTCACGGGCTTCCTTCTGTGGTGTGACCCAAGCCATCTGACACATCTGGTCAGCACATCATCACTACATAACTTTTTAGCTAGTAAATAATCTGACTGCCAGAACTCCTTTGTTCTTGCACTCACTCACTCTAATGTGGTATCCACCCAAGGCAACACTCTCTAGAACAGCTTCTTAATACAACAAACCTTCCCTTTTGCCTTCCCTCAAAATCCTGTTTAGCCTTTAATTCATCAGGATCATTCATCACTTTCTGWAGCTTTCTTGTATCGTACAAGTTTATACTGCACTCTCTCTGCCAGTAAATCCTTTTAGAATATGCTATGGTATGCAAAAGTCTGGCTCTAACTCTGTATTTCAGTTCGCCTTTTTGCTGGAATAATTAACAAACAAGAATTCCTACTGCATAGACTTGTTGTGTGACAAGGATAGTACCTCACAGACCTAGCAGCAAGCTATTAAAATGATCCTTATATGAAATAAACTAGGGTTCAGTTCACAATCATATTTATGCTTGTTTGCCTATTTGTAAAAAGGAMTTTTTACTGGTCATACATGGATTTTTTTTCAAAAGCCATCTATTTGTTATGAACAACTTTTGAATAGTTCTTTTAAATATATATCTGATGGGGGAGGCAAATAAATTTACCTCTTTTATTTTCATAAACATGCAAACTCACAGAAAATATATAGTATTACTTCTATATTAAGTAGTAATGTGCTGACTTAATTCCTGGACATTACTACACTGAATATTTATATTCCYTTTAAATGTGTATTTATGATAATCACAGAGTACTGTGATACAGAATGCTCGCAATGCAATTAAATAAGTTCTGCACAGCAAATTAATTATATCTTATCAAATAGACTTAATTTTTTKAACTGAAATTGGGATATGGCTTTTAAAATTATGGTTACTTTCATGCAGAGTTAATGGTAACTTTTTTCCAAGTCAGCCTGGGCTTCAACATAATTAAAGAGGCATACCTAAAATAATCAAGCAGCCATAACTCTCCTTACCAGCTAAGACTAGGACCTTCAAGTAAGCCTGATCAATATGAAAGTTACTGGTTTTTAGTCCAAAATTATGTCAACACAAACAATAAATTAAAACTAAGTAATTGAAAATTTAATATATGGAAAGGTTACTCTATGACTTAACTATATATAACCAATACATATAGTTGAAAAGAGATCTAGTGGAAGACTAGACTTTGCTCTCACTTTCTTGAGATGTCTGCATTTGATTTTTACAAAAGTGTCTGCTTTAAATGAACTCTCTGGGTTTGAATGTGCACACTCAAAYCCCTTTATGACTAAAAATGCAGAATCATTTGTTCCTTTCCTGGTTTTAAGTGCGATGAGCTGTACWCATTATTCAGCCTCATCTTAATGGCAATGTGGAACAGGATGTACACAAGGGATAACACAAAAGTTAGTAAAAAACAAAAGGCATGAATTTCTGCGTATGTCTGTGTAGTGYCACTGCTTCAGACAAATGACATCTGAAGATCTGACAGTGCTTGCTGCTGGTTTCCACAGGATCTGCTTCTGAAGGCACTCAGCAGCAGCTGCCTGCTGTATTCAGCCTGGAGATCTTCWTGTCTTCAGTGACTGGCATTTAAAGTGCAGTGAAGCACTGTTAAGTCCATCCTCACCTGCGATTTTCTTCATTAATTGGCACAATTCTTTGTTTTTCTTCTGTCACTTTGTCTGATGCCTTTTGTAACATTAATGGAGACTTCTTGTGCAGACATTTTCTGTGTGTCCCATTTACTCTGTGAGAGTTTTAAACAGTACAGTGAGTTCCACACTGACAATAGAAAGAGTCATTGGTTATTACCCCCTAATTTACAAACACAGTTCTATTTAACAAACAGAATGCTTCTAGCATCCTTCACACGGCATTGTGATGTAGAGCAATGTCCTCATTCACTGTGAACATAAGCTTTTGTAACTGCTATAAAGGCAGTGGACGTCAGTAGGCTTTGGATCAACCTTCTTGACTGTAATTATCATCTYTGTGTTTGTGTACTCTAAAAGAACAGCAAATAAATCTGGTTTCAGTCGAGGAGTGACCATTAGAGGTTCTTTTTGATGTTGCTGTGAGTAGTGCGCCACTAGCCTGAGACAGAACTTTCAGTACTTGATTTTATGTTTCTGATGTGAAAACACAAYTTTAAAGTAGCACTTACTTTAGCTTGCATATAGGACCCAAGCACAATATAGACCTTTCAGAGCTTCATTGGGTTATTTTCAGTGTTCATAAAAGCCAGGCTGTGTGAGGGATGCAAGTGCATCCCTAATTTAAATTTATCCTTTTCCATCTCCCAGACTGTCTGCTTGTTGCCATAAGCAACACACTATAATGCACAGTGAACTGAATAGGTTTGGGAAAGTGCACGCTGCTCTGGGCTGATAGAGACACACAGCTGAGTTAGGTGGTTTGGTTATTGCATTGCCAGTGTTCCAGGAGGCTGTTTGTCGGGGTAAGGAAGGCCAGGTAAATTAGGCACTATCTACATGGTAAGTGTGCCAGGTAGAATAGTGATAAAGTTCCACTGACATGAGCAGAAGGTACATATATATCACAGAACAACACTTGGAGTTAATTTGCTGCTGTGTATTATTTCAAATTTCTGCAGCCTGAATACACCTGCATCAGACTGGCACAACTTGGGAGGTAGCACAGGAATCAGAACAAACAGCTGAAAGCAGCTTAGGTTGGTGTGCTCTCCAGTAAAACAAAACCAAACAAATTATTTTTAAATTTTGAAGGAGTTTTCATAAATTGCCAGAYGGCATCATCCCTATTTTGTAGTTTAGGAGATAGATATTTAAAATTGCTGTCTGAAAAATTGCTCACAGACGTGCAAGCTAATGTCCATTCAAAATGCTATCTGCTATCTACTCCCCCWGTGCTGCTGTTCACTCAAGGACATGCCAAAGACTACCACGAGAACTGACCCAGGTTACTGTCAGTCAGGGGCATAAATTGGATACCACCGGTTTGTGGTTTGGTTTTTTTTTTTTTTGGGGGGGGGGGCAGTGTGGGGTGTTGTTGTGCCTGACCATCCTGTTAGCTTCACTGATATTAGGACTCCTTTCTTCATCATTGTCATCATCATCATCATCAAACATCATCATCATCATTTAGTTCCAAGTTGTTTTGACATTACTATCATGAGAGAGCTTAACGTTTCCCAGACACAGTCTGTGTCAAATTTTTTCCCTTTCGACAGCACAGGTTGTACCCTGTCACATAACCAAGCATCAAGGGATAAGGCCAAAGAAAGCTTTAGAGCTTGATGCAGGAGAAAGAGACAAAATGAGACATGATGTCATTTATCCCCTGCTAGCCCACAGGCTGATGGCACAAGSCAAGACTCCCCAGAGCACCATGTGCTGCATTGCATTGTGTTCTATAGAATGTCATGATAATAGAAAAACTGTAGTCAGTGTGAATGTTCAGGTGAATACAATGGGCACATTTTGAGTTGCAGGGGATTGTCACCTTTTCAATTCTAGGCATCTAAACGTAAGGTGTTTAAATTATCTGCTTGTCTTATGGTTCTCTAAATAGTCCATGGAGAAACAAGAGGTGCAGGATTGCATACGAGAGCAGGACCCTAAATTAGATACTACACTTTCTCGCTAGGACTATAGATTTCTTTTTTTGACTATAGGAAGTTTAGACAACTTATTTTCTTTTCTTATGCACCTGCAYTAGTTGTGGACAATAATGTAAATGGCTTACTTAAAAGAAATTCTCTTTGCACTGGGCTGCAACAGCACAGATACATGTTACTGAATATGGCAGCTAGAAAATGCAAGAGGATATCTTCAAAGTCACAGGGCCTCAGGGCAGGAGCCCACACTTCACTGAGTAACAGCATTACAGTCAGCATTCACATTATTAATATGTTGTGGGAATTTGCCCATACTTCCTTCTAAGTCTAATACAGAAATAATTTTCCATTCACTTACAAATTTAGACAAAMAATTTTCTCAAACAGTAGGCCAGAATAACTGTAATTCTCAATTGTGGCCAAGTATTTTTCGAATTGGATTAATAATTATGCAGTTTTGTTCAACCATATCCCACCTCACCAATTATTTTTTTCTCTGTGGGCTAGTGGCTATGACAGGGATTTTGGTTTTTCATTTGCAGCAAACCCATGGCTCTCGATGTCAGTGCTGCTGTGGAATGTGTCCCTGCACACCTGGAGGTGCAGTACCTCATGGAAAGATRGAGCTGTATCTATGTCACTGGGGAATATTTTTGTACCACAGCAATACAGAAGATAGTAATACAACAGAGGTATAAAATGAAAAGACATGCACTGATTTGCTGTGTGTTAGCAAATGCAGTTCAATCCAAGCTCCTTTTCTCATTTGCTCAGACCCCTTGGTTTAAGGAGGTGACTCCCAAGATGGAACCACTTCTTATGGGGTGGCTGTAGCAGCTCCACCACATGCTGTGCTCAGGCACTTTCTGTGGAAAAATGTCAAAAGACAAAGCTTAGCAAGGAGGAGTGGACACATTGGCAGTAATTCAGCAGAAACAAACTGTGTGTGCCTGAGGAGCAGGGACACCAGGGGAGCTTGTTTCACACCTGAGAGAGGCAYGAAACAAAGGATGAAACTGCACAGAGGTGTTGCAACCATTTTCTGTTTACAACAATGCAGCTAATGGGAATTAAGCCAAAGGAATGACCAAAAGCTGAAATTTGCATTAACTTGAAAATATGGGTTCCTTTTCATGCCCCACATATGCTGATGAAGTAAAACCTGTACCTGCTCTGCATGTCTATAAAGTCACTCAAACTCCAATTAAGTGAGAATACTGAGTAAGAAAGGAAAAGCCCCCAGGCCTGCTGCAGATAACACAGAAAACAAGATAGGGGGGGTCTCCCTTTCATAGTTTTTATGTGACAGAAAAAAAACGGTGTAATCAACAGAATTGCAGTGGATAAACAGTTACAGAAGTATGAATGCTCCTTCCCAGACAGGCAAGGAATTGGCCCAAAAATTCTGGAAAGGCAAAGCAATTATTTGTGCAGTATTGGAAGGTCACTTGTCTTGTACGCAAAAGGAAATCAAAGAGTCCCTTCTCCCCTCAAATATTTCATATATAGAACATGCTGCTTTGAATCTGCAAATGGAATATTAAAGTCATCACTGGCTTTTGAGAGGGAAATAAAAGATTTGGAATGCAAAACCAAGCTTATAACTGAGAAAGATCATTTTAATGTTCTGTTCACTTCAGCAGAGCATAGGAAAAGACAATTATTGGAGAAATTAGTTAGGAAAAAAACATAGCAGAGTGAAACAAGATCTGAGAGAGGAAATAGAGGGCAGGAAAACAACTGAATTGTTATTATCTTTGGAAAATGAGCAGCTGCAGAAACAGTTACAGAATGAAAAGGAGATACAGCAAAAATTAGAAGAAAAGGTAGAAATTATGCTTAAGAGGGCTGCCAATCAAGCCAGCATTGTACAGATAAAAACCCCAATTCTKTTCCCTGGAGAATGGTGAAAAAGCTGAGGGCACGGTGGCCGCTCATCAATGTCTGCAGGAGACTGAACGCCAATATTGCACCTGTAACTATAGCTGGGCCAAATACTGCCAAACTGGTAATGCAAATTCAGGGAGCATCCTATCCACGGATGGCAACCCTAGATGTAAAAGATATGTTATTCATGATTCAACTCTGGGAACACCTCAAGGCTCAATTCATGCTCACCCGGAAGGCAGTGCAATGTACCTTTGGCAGATTCCCACAGGGATACAAACATTCACCCACAGCTGCACATTCTGTGATTGCCAAACTTTTACAGACCCACCCTCTCCAGATGTGAAATTAGATTATATGGTAATAAGAGGAGAGTCCCCTGAAAAAGTAGGGGAAGAGACAACAACAGTAGGGAAAGCATGGCAAACACTTCTCAAAMTAGAAATTGAGATTCCTCCTGAGAAATGCCAAGGCCCATGTAAAGAACTTTATCTGCCACATCTGCAGATAACCCAGAGAACAAGGAAGTCTCCCTCCCCCAAATTTTTACCTAACAAACACCTTCTCATATGAGAAACCAAGGAAGCAGTAAARCAGCCATAGGTTTTGGCTTTCTTTAACCTGCAGCAGCTGCTGTGCAAACAGGACAGCAAGGGGGGACCTGTGAGAGGCAGCTGTGACAGGAGAAGGCTGGTCTTTGTTATTGATGCCATGGTCATTTTTTGCCTTTTCTTTTTTATACCTCTTACATATTCTCTGTATTCTTAGCACACATATTTGTAGCTTTTGTAGCCTAATATTGTAACTTAGTTCCAGTATTTTTCTAGGCAAAACRTTCCAAAAGTCTCCCAGCTGTGAGCCTGAAGCCCCTGAGATATCTTAGTTCTCCACAGAGGCCAAGGCTGAAACTGGCTCTCAGAGACAGATTTTTGTAAACAGGGTTCAAGCCTCATCTGAGRGGGCAGACTCTAAAAGTTGCCAGTATAGGAGGATATACTTCACCTATTAAATGTAAATACTTAATCTTCAATACTTCAATCTATKAAACTTGTTATTGGGRAATCTTTGTCAGATATGCTAATTTGCAAAATCTATAAAAATTATATACACGTCACAYRCGTGTGYGCAACTTCAGCATTTTCCACYTTGATGRATTGTGCACYTAAGGATYCTTTCAAAGGTATACCCATTTTTATCYCCTTAACTGTGTCTGGCTCATGGTTTCAGGACCAGAGAAAAAGGCATGAGTACAGACCTAAAGCCTTATTCACACAATGTAAACAATGTACACAACATATACGTGAGGGGGAAAAGGCAGGAGGGTCTGATCCAAAGCCTACTGAAGTTTTTGAAAAGACACCCATTGACATTTTCAAGCTTCATGTCCCACTTTGAATGAACCAGGGTTCATGCAGTGCACATATTTGAAGCCGAACAGCAATTAAGGGAAAACATGTTCCCTTTCAGATAATTAGTCTAAATTGTTTGCACAATAGATGCCACAGCTGGACTGAGCTGGAAAGAAATGAGCATGGAAACTTTTTTTACTGTAGCAAGTGTGTGTTAATCTGATTGACAAACAAAACATCAGCTCTGTGKCCATTCAAGCATGAAGCATTGTCAGAGCTGCTCAACTCAATTATGCCATGGCTGTAGTGCTCCCTGGCATCATTTTCTTGTATCTCAAGACATTAAATATGGTTTCACTGCAAAGGGAAAGGCTTTCACAAAAGTAACTTAGAGCTGGTTGAAGCCAGGGCTGGGCATAGGGAGCACAGTGATAGCCATACCTCTGTGGTCCTGAAGCTATTCTGTCTCTGTGTTGTCCCTCCCGTGCCGTGGACCATGGGGTTGGCACACTGAGAGCCACAGTTGTTCCTCTTCTCAGCGTTCAGCATTCCAGCTGTGGCTGATGCTGTAGGCACAGCTGGTGGACCCAATTTCCCATCCTCCAGGAGACCTAGAAGGGACACATGGAATTAGGCAATTAATAGTGAGGAGGAATTTGCAGCTGGCTCTGTCTTCCCTCTATTTCACCACATTTTGTGAACACATAAGTGATGCAAGGCATGGTGCAGCACCACAGTGAGAGCAGTCTGTCCCCCTGTGTCATCCTGATCCTCACACTTGATATCATTTGGCCTTTTTTCCTATGGTCTACTGTTCTGTAAAACATTTTCTCAAAAAACTTGGAAAAACAGTCAATGAGTGCAGCACATCAGTAGATTTTTGTCACCTGCAGGTCTCCATTGGCTTCTCTACACACAAAGCTCCTTCCTTGACCAAGAGTTTGGCTTCGGACCCAGAGAATGCCCCCTAAAATGTGTTCCAGTCCTGGGAAATGRAGGGGTTAGAGGTGAGTATGACAGATGAGACCAATATGGGTGGAAAGGTTGCTCTGTTCATGGCCTTGCCTTGAATATATTTTCATTGGAAGTTCAGAAAAGAAATTTAGAAAAACTGTATTTCATGCTGTTTTGTCTATCAGCAATCAAATAAATGAGTAATTTGCTTTCTGCTCTAGCTGTGTGGACACACATGCATCGTACAACATGATAYTGGACTGCATAAATGAATTTTCTCATCCCATTGCATTAACAAAAATAAGTTGTCATTTATGGTGAGTGTACAGCACTCAACACCTGTTTGCAACACTGGGTCTGAAATCCAAATAGAAGGAGTAAGTGGRATGCCTGACTGTTGCTCTCAAGTTTTTGTCAAAGCTTATTTATGAAGAGCTTTGGGATAAAGGAGAAACAAAGAAGGCGAATTTACTAACTGGAAATGCAGGTATCAAATCYAGAAGGATTAAGAAGTCACAGACACTAAGTGAGAAAAAAGTATGTGGAGAACTAATGACAAACCACTGCCATTTGACGTGACTGTATTTGATTGTATCGTCAAAACCTTCTGCCGTGAATCATGTAGGAATTCAAATGCAGTATTAAACGGTACTAAAAAAGGGAAGCAAAGTCCTGAATTCTTTCTCAGAAATCTGTAAGAAAATTTGCTTTGTTGGTAGAAAGCAACATCAGTATTTGGCAATGACAAAGGCAATGACTAAAACCAATAGAGCTTCAACCAAATATTCAAAGCTTTGGTCTTGAAAATTTATAAAGTTTTGTGGAATTAAAAGGTCTTTAAGATCTCTTTTGATTSAAGCCATTCTATGATTCTGAGAGTYAAGACTACAGACTAGACCCTGCATTTCCCTGAGCAGTCAGAAGATGGAGGCAGAGTTTTCCGAAGACAYTTTAACTTGCAGTGGTGGTAACTAATGATGCTGTCACCTAGTTTGTGACAGAAAAAAAAAAATTGAGCTGAAACTTGAAAATACTGTATTATATTTTTTTTTTAGAAAAAAATCTTCTGTCTTTGTAAAGTGCCTTTCCTGCCAGATATAAAGACTAACGTTGTTCTCCTAAGTTTAGATTCAATTTCAGCAAGGCAACAGTAAACCTCACCTCTGCTGCATCTTCCAAAATTTCACATCTGCCTGTGTTTTAAGTCTCACTTCTTCCTATCACTCCACAGTGTCAAAATGGAGGCAAAAAAAAGACTTGGTGCAGAGCAGTAAATGGGACAGACTGGTATTGTGGACCAAACCAGATGTCAGGAAGGGAAATAGAGAGGGAATGAGCCACGTGTGACTCAGCTCTCAGCCAGRAATCCACTGCTTCACCTTGCACTGGAGCTCTGAGAACAAGCTTGAGCACAGCTTTCAGCGAGCAAACTGCACTGAGAATTACATACTTATTCCATTAATTGAATCTTTGACATTTCAGACATATGAATTATGAGTTTTTCCTTCTGTGGAGTCATCCTATGAAATTACTTTCCACTGTGTGTCTCTTTGGCCATCTGGCCTCTGACTAAATTGTCTGGTGAAACAGCTGTCAGCTGAAAAGCCATTTTGTTATTAAGTACAATTTTCATTTATCAGATTGTGTTGCATATTTTGCTCTTCCAGAGAACAATTTTTCTTACATGAATCTATTTCTGGAGGCGATGGAAAATCTCAATCCTGAAAATTATACATCTGATTCAGTTTTTGTCTCTGTTATTTTGCAGCCTAAGTGTACTTGCTGCGTCCTAGACTGCAGGGGAGTGACTTTTTCTGCAACACTTGTCAGAAATAAACCAGGTATCAGTATTTGAGCCTCCCACTATCACTACTATATTTTTTTATGGATGACCTAGTGGTCACCAACACCAGGCAAWAAGATTTTTTACCTTATCCTGAAATATGTTTGCTATTTTGAAGTCAAGAAACTACTTTAGAATTAGTTTTCATTGGCAAGTAGATGATTTAGAGAGTGGGCAACAGTTTAAAGACTTCAGTGACTTGCTCTTTATGTATGAGCACCAAGCAGAAATTACAGTGAGAATGCATAAATAGTGGAGTTAAGAGCATGAGATTTGTTGGCAACTCATAAAGCAACATCTATTTTATAGACTAGATACTAACACAACATGATGATTGCAAAACAGAGATGATGTTTAAAAATGATTAGGAACATATTGTTGCTTTCAAARTAGCGAATATTTCTGCATCGCTGTTTAGGATTTGGCACAGTACACAAAAATGGAAGAGTTAGCTCTCTACCTGTACTATCTGGAACTTACAAGCCAACAGGATGGCAATACCAAGGATCTTGCCTCTGTGTGGTATAAAACAAGCAAATTGTTCAGATATTTTTGCCATCCTCAGCAGGGGTTTAGTCAATAATTTTCTTGGTCTTTCACCACAGAGCTTCAGTTTACATGGGTGTAGACATTTAAATGAACATTAAATCACTGTAGACATTTAAATGAACAGGTTCAGTAATGTTTTTTTCATTCTCATCTTCTCTTCCATGACACCCCTGCCAAAAGTCTGTGGGCCTCTTTAGGCCAGGGAAAACAGATTCCATCTCAGTACTCTGTCAAATACACATATTTTACTTTCTAATGAACTGGCAAGACTACAATATCCTCRTGGCTCTGTTCCCAAAACCTGAGTTTGTGGGTGATTCTTAAAWGCCCACAAATGTGATGGTGAAATTTCCCTCAGGAATGGGCAGTTGGTGTTTGGGGACTGCCAGGCTGATCCCTGTGTGGAGAGGAATGGATGACAAGTAGCAGGAATATCATTGCACATGATCAGGTTTATTTGTAATGAAGACACAGAAATTCTCTCTCAATGACCACAGGGAGAAAACCCTTGCACCAGCCCCATTGCTCACAAATCCAAGCCTATCTTTCCAGCACAAAGTGTGCCTGAAAGAACTTGTCCTCCCACGGCAATGTTCACAACCACCTTCCTCTTCCCTGTCTTGCTGGACTGCACAGACATAAATMTTTTCTTTCTTAACAGGCCAATAGAAATCCTTAAGGCTGGAGCTTGAGAAATGGTTTTTTTCAGCATCATCAGGGGAAAAAAAGGGTTATTTTAAACTGAAATCAATCTTAGACTTTATTCTTCCCCCCATTGACGCAAGCAGTCAGACTGGCACAACTTGGGAGGTAGCACAGGAATCAGAACAAACAGCTGAAAGCAGCTTAGGTTGGTGTGCTGTCCGGTAAAACAAAACCAAACAAATTATTTTTAAATTTTGAAGGAGTTTTCATAAATTGCCAGACAGCATCATCCCTACTTTGTAGTTTAGGAGATAGATATTTAAAATTTCAGTCTGAAAAATTGTTCACAGACTTGCAAGCTAATGTCCATTCAAAATGCTTAAATCATGTAGCTCTAAAAATCCCCCCACATTTACATGAGAAAGGAGTGGTCTAAGAAAGCTTTGAAAAGAATCATTTTAGTAAATAGGGTGCTCATCACRGAGAAGTCAATGAAAATGTAAAATATGGATTGAAAATTCAAGACATTATACCTGTACTTCTTATTTTTTCTGGTTTCTTTTATTATAATGGCAACATTAATGATAACAAAACCAAAAATGAACATTGTACTTGTTCTGCTCTAGTTCTGCATACAGCCTGGTTACACCTAAAAATTCTGAGTACTCTTAATGGCAGTATCTCATAAAGAAGAGAGGAAATTTTCACCGTTAACATTTTCTAAYCAGATTTTTGTATGAAGATTTTTGTATCACCTTTGTATAAACATGATAATGGAGGAAAATCACACAATTAATTCAGTTTGGGAAYGTAAAACTGGTCTAAAAAGCAAAGTAATATCATGGATTGACAACTGGCACAGAGAGACAGAAAAAGAGAGATCTAGGGGGGCCATTTTGTAGTCCTTAAATACTAGAACCACAAGAAACTTCTCAAACCACAAATAAGATAAAGGTTGATGTGCCTGGATCTCCTGCACAGACTTCATCGAAAGAGTAAATCTTAGCAAGGTTTAAGATGACCTGAAAATTTCTGTGACTAAGAAAATCAGCAGTGCTGCAGTAGCTAATGCTGTCAAGAAGTTTGGGTGAGCTATGAAGCCTTATAGTAAGGAGACAAAGTTAATCCTAGCCAAAAGAATCAGCTATTTGTGGAGAAAATTATTCACTCTGTGTRTGCCACGGTATTCCCCCACTTCATTCTAAAGCAACAGGCAGTGGACAAAACTGAACATGAATTCTGACCCAAGTGCACTCTTGGTCTGACCCAGTCCTGCATGAGACCCTGTGCTGTCACATATTTTCTTCAGGAATAACAGGCATACATTTGTTTAGAGCAGACAGTTTTTTATTATTGTGATAAATTTGTACTTCTGGAACTGACTACGAACAAACTGGTAGGGTTCAATTTTCTAGCTCAGCAACACTCTTTTCTATTTACCATGACTGTTACCTCATGCAAAATGCAAAAGGTGCTGGTTTAGAAAACGCCTGCCTGAAAAGATGCTGCACTGTAATGATGGGCTCTGAGAAAACTCAAAGTGAAGATAAATGAGCGCTGTTATCTCCACACACCGATGCTTCCAGAGCAAATATGTGTTTGCAATCACCACTAAGTTTC